ATTGCTCAACTTTTTCTAGAAAAAGAAAAAAGAATATATTGGTGCTCCTTTACCGACCAAAAAACTTATTATCAGAAATGAAATTTATAATCAGTGAAATGGTGGAACAAATAGTGCCTATTCAGAACCATGCGAAGCGTATTTGGCCCAAATGGGACAAAAAAAGGGTTCTTTCTAAGGTTTGCTTTTCTATGTGAAAAAATCTCAATATCTTAATGTTGGTCTAAGTCAGATGGATTAAATGGATGTAATGGAGAAGACTATTAATCGGTAGTAATTGCAATTATAATCTATTGAAATTAAAATGTTGAGATTGTTTTGTATTTTATATTTAATGCACATTTTTTTTTGATTATAGAAATTCATATTAAAATTTTCAACACATCATATGTGAATTAAATTACTATTTTCGTATTAAGCACATTTCTACACAATGTGTTAATAAATATATGATAAGAAAAAGGGACCACGCGTGCCTTGAACTCTTTCAATTAATTAATTGTGTTTCACTCTAATGAATCATGATCTATTCCCAGTTGTTAGAGAGCCAGTTTTAAAACGAATTTTACCCGCTTATAGAACACTAACTGAAAAGCGATAAGACAAAATTTTATTTATGGTAAACAGATGGTTAAATTTAATTACTACGCTCAGGTATTAAAAAATATATATAATTTAATATTCTTGTAACTGAAACTAATATAAGGTCAAAAAATGAAGTTTTTAACTATTAAACTATTTTACCAAGCCAATAAGTAATATCACATTCATGCATGCGCATACATACATACATGCAAACATTGCATTATCAACAACTGACCATGCGTAAGAGCAAAATTAAGTATTTGATATATTTCATACTTCTTATAGATCACTGATATCAATAAAAGTGATATGTGACAATTAAGTCTAATTCTTCTGTTATAATTACTCAAACAGTACTCTTAAGCAATCTAGAATACTAAAATCACAGCTTTTTATCTACGCCAATACTATTTATGATTAACGTTTATTAGATTGTAATACATTCAACTTTTCCTTCATTTATATATGTACGAATCTACTTTTATCTATAAATTAATACTGTTATCAAAAATAAAATTCTAGATATAAATTTGTATATACGAACGCTAATTCACAAAGTGTGTAAGATATTAATCGGGCGATTGTATTTGCTGTTGCTAATGTAATTTTCATTTGCAAATACAAAAATATAGAAAATAAATATTGATAAAATAACGGGTACCGAATAAGTAATTCATATGAGAAATACTATATATAATGAAGTAAAATATATTATAGACCAAATAAAAGTATAAATCTGTGGATATAATGAAGTTTAAGATCCTTTACATTGATTAATTCCAAGTTATCAAATAGAATATATATACTAAAATTATGCACATGTTTGACAGCTATATTCAAATTTGATTCAATGAATGTAGAATCTGTAGCTTACAACCTCACATTCAAAGCAATATTAAAATTCGAAAACATTGGTGCAAAATTTAAAGACAAGAACAAGACAAGATAGCTTTATCGAATTCAAATCTATGTGCACAGAATTCATAGATAAGGACCATACGTACGTTTGACAGCTATATTAAAGTTCAAATCGATGACTTCAATAATTGGAATTGATTTGTGACCAACAGTTTTAATATGGCACTAAAAGCATTCGAAAAAAAAAAAAATCTTCAGAAGATCTATTTTCTCGTATGCGGTGGTAACGACTACCGATCTGGGCATAGTGAAGTGCATAAACTTTCGAATGGGTGTAAATATTCCTGCTAGAAAAGCTTTTGATTTAGTGCTTGCTGTTTAAAAAAGCTCTTGCGGACGTCTTCATTCTTCGGTGGGACCAGGTGACCAACGATATGAAGGTAATCGGTAATACCAATTGACAACAGTAAACCACTGATCGGGCAAGTCAAAGGGGGCTACACATTGGCCAACTAAGTAAAGAAGTAAGAATGGCTATATTTGAATATCAAAATGTAATGCCAGTTTCATGATAAATGAAAATGTAATATGATGTGGCAAATTTTTTTAATTATAAACGAAAGATAAAAATTGTTATTGTTGCAGGGTAAATACATAGTATATAGTAATACGTGGTAAGCATGCTCACTAGTTACGTAGAATTTTCGAGCGATGCGGGCGGTAGCATCTACTGGTAGGGCCTTCCTTGCCGGTAAGATCGTATGAAGCTAAGCGCTGTCCACAACGTAGTGTCGGTACTCGTAATGAGCGGCTGCAAAAGGCGTCTGTTTTCCAGGTTAGGAGCGGCCTATTTAAAAGTGACCTGTTACTACATGCAAAACTTACAGGACTGACATTGCGCTTGTAACCCATCGTCATGGTTTTCCTCCCTTCTTTAACTATATTCTGGAAATAAAATATGAGTCTAAACCCGAAGTGTTATCCGTACTTATTCGGCGAATCCACCTGCTTCGGCAGCATACATGACAGAATCTCTTCGTTAGGTATAACTGTAACCATATGGCCCAATGTTGCCCTGGGAACACAATGAAGTGAAGAAGAATATTAATAAATATAGACATTTTATTGATTAGTGACATGGCAAAATCTCTTTTGTTTAAATATTAGCTAAGTGTCTTCTTTAAATTTATATATGGTTAAGGTAAATATCTTTTATTAACCAAAAAAAATAAAACAACTTCAAGGAGATAAGAGAGAGAGATGAAGGTTAGAGAGATAAGTTTTATTGAATTGATTTTTATTGAATTGAGTCTTTTCGGTCAACTTACAAATCTTACATTTCTTCTAAAAGCATTCAATTTATACCTCATGACTAACCCTGTATAGATTCACACAGCAAAATAACGAAGCCTTTGTTCTGAAATGACGCATTCAGTTCTCTTTGTTGTTTATTTTTTATCTATAAAACTTGAAATTTTTTATTAGCACTGTAGACACATTAGGATTGTAAAATTCATTATTATTTCTCTTACTTTCATGGATGTAAACATATGTGGAAATAGTGCAAAGATATGGATTGCTTCATTGTATAGCGGAAATACAATTTTTAATATATTATTACATTTTAAATGAACTATTAATTATAAATAAATATTAAACATTTATTAATATTAAACAAATATTAAATAAATATTAAATCAATCGATTATACTTCTATGTCTCAGCACACCTCATCTATTTTTTTTAAATCGCTTATTTCAAGCTATTTGTTTCTATTTCTCTCCCAAGTAGCTCTTAAGTTGGACATTATTATTACTATTATTAGTATTACGATACATATCTATAACAAAAATGACAATTCAATTCTCAGTTTGTGTTTATTGCAGTTTAATTTGAACAATACGATTAGGGGAGCAATGCAGTCTATACTTAGCGAATGCTTAAAAAAACTAAGTAATTTTTTCAAATTTAATTTACTTGACCTACTGCACTTTTCATTTTATGATTGTTTAGTATCATGTTTCATAAGCTGTAAAGTTTTTATTTAGACCCATAAAAATTAGTAAAACGAATAACGTTGGTAGTTTAATGGATTCAAAATGGAACGCTTACAATCAAATTTATTTTGATATCTCAAATATGTTATTTTCCTAACATTGATTCTAAGCCAACCAGGAAGTTTATAAAATGAGAAAACGAATGGACAGCAATGCAAATATATAGCATAGAATAGATTGGAAAGAGATTGTTACTAAAAACGCAGCTTTCGTAAACAACTGAATTTCGTTGACTTAGGTATTACTTTGCTAATCTAAAGTTTTCTTAGTTCTATAGTTTCCCTTATAGTTTCTATAGTTCCCTTAATTAAATATACTAAACCTGAGATATATCAATTATATTATTAATGCTAAAATTAATATTTAAAAACATGCTTGCATAAGCAAGAGTTCAATGAATCGACAAATAAACAAACTGAACATATATTTAGGTTTAGAAGATTGTGGATCCACAACTGTCGATGCTCAATAGTCGACGGTTTGAGTATATATAGTTATCAATTCAATGTTCTGTGATCTACAGATGTTATAACTTATACGAATGTTTTTACCGTGATAAAACACTATTAATAATATATTTATTATTATCATATGTTTATGTTTATATAAGCAAATAGATATTTATGACTGAATTAAATATGTTAACAAATTTAAAAAATTTTTTGTTAATGCTTTGTGAGTTTTGTATAGTTTATTGCTTTTAAAATTTTGTAAAAGCTTCATTTCTTATTATTTATATTTTATATATAAATAATGAATGTCAAAGAACTCTTAAATCAAAAGAGCAAATAATTATCCTTAAAATAGATCAATTCAATTCATACGAATTCTTTAACGTTTTTTACTCTGACGAGTGGAACGTTTTCCAGTAGTTTCAATGCGTTCTATCCTAGTTGTAGATTTATCACTTCCTTTAATGTAACTTTTTATTGACTTCTCGTTCTGAACTGATATGTTCAGTGCTGTATCGACATTTGCCAAAAGATTCTTTTCAAATCGGTCATCATCTGAAGCATTAATACATAATTAATTTTCTTTACCATTATTTTCTTCTCTAACATTACTTTCTCCATTTTTGTTTTCCTGTTTTATATCAGGATTTGCCTTCTTCATTTGCATATGACGTCGTTGCTTTCGCTGTATTGTGTTGATCTGTTGTTCTTGTGCACGATACTGTAAGTCTTGGCGTTTTGTAGAACGACGTAAACGATCTCGTTCTCTTTCCTGAATGCGATAATTTGGATCCATACGACGAGCTGCTTTTCGCAATCGGTTTCGTTCTCTCTCTATTTCCATTCTTGATAAGTCTTTACGTTCAATTAAATGATTTAAGTAATTTAATTTGTTTTCAGAATCTTGACTTGTATCATTCTGACGTGCAGAAGATTTGCGTCTACGATCCTTTTCTCTAAATGTTGCAAGTAAAACAGGATCACTACGTATACGTTCGGCATATATTTTTTTACGTTCCCTACTTCTAATTCTTTCTTTTTCGCGATATTCAGGGTTCATACGCCTCATTCTCTTATATAACGCATCTTTAGCTCTTCTCGAACTGACCGATACGTTCTGTTTTTTAATTCTTTTGTTTTGTTTTCCTTTTGTAAGTGTCACTGGTTCTTCATCGCTACCAATTTTCTCTTCTTTTACAATTCCTTCCCACTTATCATTGCTACCAACTTTCTCTTCTTTTATAACAACTTCCGGCTCTGGAACTACTTTCTCATGCTCTAAAAAGTTTTCTTCTTTGGCATTTACTAATTTTTGTTCTCCATAGTTTGAAATATTATATTTTACAAGTACTTCTTGCTCTTCGTCATTATTTTTCTTTATTTTTTTCGAAACTGCATTCTTTTCATTACCTTGAGTTTTTGTTTTATTCGTAACTACAACCGACTTTTTTTCGGTTTGAATTTTTTTTTTCGCCATAAGTAATATATCTGAAATGATATCTAAATTTGTAAGCATAGTTACAAATACTTGAAAGAAAAGTTTTTTTGTAAAAAAAAAATATATATATATATATGCATTGGTTTAGTGTTTTTAGTGAATGGAACAGTAGCTTTAATTAATAGTAGGTTTAATTCATAATTCATAAAATCCAAAAAACAGATCATTTAAACATGAATAATATATTTCCTATGTGAATTTTATTTTTATTTCGGAGCTAAGTCCCAAGTAAATTTATAAGAATAAAACAATAATTTACTGGTTTTATATATAATGTAAGTTAAGCATTTACTGCTTGCATGAGGGGTGTAAATGTAATTGAGATGAACTCTCAATTGATTTTTTCATTTTTCATTTATTCTATAACCCCTCGAATATATGGTTACGTGCCTGACCTTATTCAAACAGTTTTTGAAAAAACAATGGACTGTTATATTGTCATTCCATCCGATTTCTTGTCATTCCATCCGAAACAGGTCATAACAAGTTATTGTATCTTGTTTTAAATGTAAAAATTCTGAAATTCTCCAAAATAATAATGGTCATAGCTAGAAAATGTTAAAAAATAGAACACCTACTATCTTTTGCTCAACTAAATAATAAAACTACAAAAAGCTTTTTAATAAAAAAAAGTATATATATATATATATACACTGTAATATTTTTGAAAACTTTAGGGGACTTGGTTTTACATATAGTACATATTAAATTTATGCTTTTTTAAAAAAATGTCTTCTGTTCTGCTTTACAAGATGTGCTTTGGCTTTAAGTTCATATTTAAATCTTTGTTTGGGTGTTAACATAAGTTTTGAATAGTCGTTATTGGGTAAGAATTTAACTGTTCTGCGATACTTTTCTTTCTCTCTTTCTTTGGCTTTGTATCGGGGATCGCTACGTAATTTTCTTTTACGTAACCGATCACGTTCTCTCTCTTTAGCGCGATAAGCCGGGTCTTCACGTCGACGTCTATGTTGTAAGGTATTTTGAAATTTTTGCAGCTCATATTGTTCTGGTGTGAGCATCTTACGACGATCACGTTGTCTTTCACGCTTTACAATTTTATAAAGTCCGTTTTCACAAGTTATCTTAATCGACAGTTTTCTCCTCTTTCTCGACGACTGTACTTGTCTTTCTTGAGAAATTTGTAAGTTTACAGTTCTTGCAGAGTTTTTAGAAATTTCTCCTTTTGTATTGGTAGCTCTTAGTAAATATTGGCAATTTATTTGAGGAGCCATTGCATAGACGTTTTTAAAATATATTTAGACTTTAATTTATAAATAAAAACAAGCCTGCAATTAAAATATAAATTTACTAAAAGTAGAAAACAAAATTGCTAGACCGGCTATTTTCCTAAGCCGGAATTTAACGGAATGGAATATATATAATTAAACACACCAGGACTGACTAAATTGAAAATATAAAAAAAAAATTACTTTAAAACAAACAAAAATGTTAGATATTTATAGGATGAATTATTTAAAAACACATCATTCATGGTTGATCACACAATCTCAAAACCCTATTAATTTATTTTAATAAAATTAAATAAAATTTTATCAAAAACTATTGAGATTTATCTTTTGATTTATCTGGCATATGTATGCGCAATAATGAGTAACATTTTTATACCTATCTTTATTAAACTTTATTTGTTAATTTAATAATATTTTTTATCATACTTAATCAAAAAGTAGATTAAACATTTGGGTAAACTGTATTATTTGTTTAATTTGAAAGATCATCATTAACAAAGCAAAGTTTTTCTGCGAGAATACAAACTGAGATTCTGAATCCATGATGATAAAATATCAGATATTTACACTGGAACTTACAATACGTTTACACTATCGCCATTAACTCGAAATATGTGTGTACACACACGCATATTTGCCATTAAATATAGTATTAAACTACCATTGGTTAATTAAACAATACTTTCTGTCATTGAAATAATTAATTCATAATTAGAACAGCTTTTACTTTTGTTAAAGATTTGTGTAAACCACTTTGTTAATAAATTGCTAAAACCTTAAAAACAATATTCATTCTTACAGTTTCAAATTTCGAGAGATATCAAATATGTATAGGCTTTTATCAACATACATACATCAATATGCATTTAAGAAAACGCACTTTCTGCAATGATATGATATTAACTCTACAGTGAGCGTTGATTTATATATACATAAGTATACGTATTAACTGTTTTTACTATCAATGTATATATTAAAATATTCATATATAATATATTAATCTTCTCTAGTTGGGAAAAAATTTATTTACATTGTGATGCTTAATAAAAAAAAGAATGTATAGACACACTATAAACTTGTTTCATATGAGTTTATTTTGAATAATACTTATTAGAATTTTATATTACTTACTAAATGTTTTCATTAGACTTTTTTTTGTCCAATATAAACTCCACAAAACTATTTCACGGCACTATAAAGTATTTTGCTGACGACAACAGCCTTTTTGATTATGTTCTTAGAATGTCATATTATTTCAAAAGTTGTTATCAAATATATGTTTGATATGACAATATAATCTTCGAAATATATATTATTAAAACTATTAACAATTTAGTTTGCAATTTTAACAAAGCCGATGACGCCAGGATAAATCCGAATAACCCAAACAGTAGGTTTTGCACTAAATTTTAAGGTGACCAAATGCAGCGAAATACTGCGATATCTTTATATCGTAGTATATTCTCTAAATCTTAAGAGAAGAATGTATAAGTTAAAATAAAACAAGTCAACACAATTAATTATGAAATAATTATCAATAATTACACCAAATAATGATGTTATAAAATCTATATTATTTGCTCGTATTTGTAATTATGACATAAAACATTTCTAGTTTCAGACACACCCTTCATTTTTCATATATTTTTTCTTTACATTTCTCATTCCAAATTGTCAACAAGTATCACAAGATGGTTAGTAAACAAAAACATCAAACAGCTGATTTTAAGTTGTTGCAGCTAAGATGCAAAAATGAAACAAGTAAATATTTCAATTATATTAATATTTTTCTATGTTACTTTAATTGAAATACATTAGAAGAACATGTATATGTGTAATAAAATAATCAAATAGGATCTCTTTTGTAGTGAAATCAATTGTAGTAAAATCCTAACTGGTCAATAAATAGAATCTGTATATGCATGTGGATGCAATCTCCGTATTAGAATAAATAGGAAACCATTAGAACAAAAATTTTAATATTTAAATACCAGATACCAATAATAGTGCGTAAATTTATTGGTGGTGATTTTCAACTTGTTCAACTAAATTGAGTCAACGCTTCTTTCAACATTGGCTGTATCAAATTTATGAGAATACGTATTCTTCGAGAGTTGGAAATTGGTTTTATTATATATTCATGAAAGAACAATTTGAATAGTTGTTAACAAAAAAGAACTACATAAATTTTTCTGGAAATGGTACGTAACTCCAAATAATTTTACCGATTTTACACACTGAATCTTATTCACACTCCTGCCGTTTTTTTTTTTGTAGCCTGTAAGCATCTATAAAGCAAATAACATGAAAGCAATTACAAAAATGAATTCATGTGTTAGGATGTGCATAGTCATTATAAGTGTGAGAGTGATCCTATATACAATCATAATCCTAAAGTGCTTCGGTTAATAATAGACCTCCGTTTATTATTTTCTTAGAAACACAAAAAACTATATAGGTGAATAACAACTGTTTTGGCCGAATTTATGTTAAGCTAGTAGTTGAATATTTCTTAAAACTCGTATTGATACTTAAACTGGACTTGATACCGTTTATAGTCTTCAGTATTTTCGCGAACTACCAAAAAATCAGTATATGCAGAACAAAAACAAAAACTTACAATTTAAGTATAAAACTAAAATTCGGAGGAATGGGATATTGAAATATTTTGTATTGAAACTGACTTTCCCATAGACTTCTTTGCTCAAAACAAAATTGCAAAGTTATACAATCTTAAAGTACATCACCAGAATTCTTATTGTCTCTCACTAATCAGCTATAACTTTGCTTATAAAGGAAAGGACAAGGCAAAAGTCTTGCGGACGGAAGGACAAACAGACAAATAAGGTGCTTTATTGAGTTAAGGAAAACATTTCCGAAACTTATGACCCAATTAATATTGTATAAGATTTACTTGAAATGTATATTAACAATTACAATACAAAATTCAACTTTGTTATATTTGATATACGAGTTTGCCATTGATATTATATTTTAGAATCTCACTAAACGCTGTCCTGACCAAAGTCTTCACATGTATTAACGATTAATTCTCAATGGAATCAAATGAAGATGAATTTTTAGAAAATCATGCAAACCAATTATAAATATTACAACACACTGCTACTTAAATAATAAATTAGTTGTTTAATCATTCTTTTAGTTTTAAATTTGCTTTTTTCAAATTTCTATTGAATTTTTAACTTTAATACATATTCCATTCACTTGATTGTAACAACAAAATTGTTGAAAATAAATATTAAATTTAATTTTATTTGAAATACTTTTACTAACATACCCGAAAGCTTTACTTGTCTTGGAAGATTTTCTATTAGTTATTTAAAGAAAATAACATATTTTACAATCCAAATTTCCATTCAATCAAAATTTTTGCAATTCCTCGACAACAGAACAACTCAATATTTTTTGACGTTTAACGAGCAAAATTGAATGCCGCTTCAAAGTAAAAAATGTTGAAGCGAAAAGATAAAATCACTTGTGGCGAAAACAAGGTGAAACGCAATTTATGAAATTATTTTATTTAAATCTTTATTTCTGCAACACAATCTCTTAGATGGTATTTACGACTCAGGATATATATTAAAAGTATGTAATTCTACTTTATATATAAATTAACCTCTTTTTATACAATGTACCCATATAATATCTTCCAATGTACCCATATGAAATCTACTGTGTTCACGTTTCAAGCTTCAAAACTGTTTCAAACCTACACGCTTCAATACTATTATAACTTATATATGTTATTAGGTGTTTTCGGTCTAATTTGCTTGCATTGTGTGCACATATGCAAGATTTGTTATTTGCCAATATATAACACTTGACAGATTGCAGCAATGATACCATTGTGTCACCTAGCGAATATAGGCCAGTATGCGTTTTATGCCACACTTGCAAACCACCAAAAACGCCTATTATTAACACCATCAATTCTAATTAAGCTTATTGTGTATATTAGTTATTATTGATTTGTTGAGCGATGTTCTTTTAATTCGCAATTGCCATTAACATAACATAACCTTCGTTCATTAAAAAATTTTTAACAACATTGCTTTTATTCGAAGCTATAATAAAACAGTATTTTGGAATTTTATTTATTCCAAATCAAAAATATTAGTGGAATACATGGATTTAATGCTTGTAGCTAATATTTAAAAAAATTTTTGACATATTTAAAAATAAAAAATCAAATTAAGAAAACATAAATCATTAAAATAAAAGTATTCAAATTTGAACATGATATGATAGTGAGTGATTAGAATGCTTTCCGTCTTCTAAAAACAGAATACCTTATGGTTAACCGTAATTATAAAATCCAATATAAAAATAAATTTAGAATATATGTTTATAAATATGATTAATTTTATTATTGTTGTATGTGTTTATTTGTGTTTTTTTATTTTATTGCTTTAAAAATAATAATTATATTATTAATTAATATTATTAAAAATTAAACAAAATTAATTAAAAAATAAAAACAAAACTATTTAAGAGATAAAACACAACTTTTACCAACAGAAAGCAGTAATAACGATTATAAAAATACTAGCGATTATTACTTTCCATACATTTAAAAAGATTATCGATAAATTTTTGCAAAAAGTAGTTCTGCAGAATTTACGACACGGAAAGCGGTTGTCAAATTCTACAATTTCGAGGTTTTTATTTTACATTATTTGAAGTGAACAACAATTATTTAAATAAGTTGTATATAACAGATAATTCTTAATAATTGTCATCATAGTTGTTGTCTGGAAAACAACTGTGTATGTTGCTATGTCCATATAAGGAATAAATTTCATACAAAACTAATTCAACAAAGTTAACTTCAGTAAAATGACTGAAAAAAATACTCCTGAAGTTATTTTACCTCCTTTTAGGGGTGATAAATTGCTATCGCCTGCTGGAGTACCAAAATTATTAAGCACCGGTTCAGCAACTGGTAACCCACGTAATAAATGCGCACTGCAACCTGGCCATTCGTTAATGGACTGGATTCGTCTAGGTAATTCTGGGGTCGATTTATCTGGCACTTGCGGACGTATTGTGCCAGTAAGTAAAGAAGAATTAGCAAGACATAATAAACGTGATGATGCGTGGATGGCTATACGGGGTAAAGTATATAATGTTACTCGTTATATGGATTTTCATCCAGGAGGTATTATCATATATATATGTGTAATAAACGTATAATATTTAATAAACATATTACAATAAATTATAGGAGTCGATGAATTAATGAGAGGTGTAGGCCGGGATGCTACGAAGTTATTCGATGAGGTACATGCCTGGGTAAACTACCAACAATTACTTAATAAATGTCTAATAGGTCCTTTAAAAATTATTGTTAAACCAGATGCTGAAATTTTTAAATCCATTAAAACTGAAACGAATAAAGTAACAATACCTAATACAAATATCGCTAACATCGAAATAATACCACGAATCGATTGGATACAAAAACAATCAGATATAACGTTTTATATATATACTCGTCAGTTTTGCAATCCTGGCTTAGTGCTAAAATACATAAACGAAAAGGAATTTCGGTTGCTTGTACAAATAGAACATACCAAACATTGTATCGAATTGCAATTGCAATCTGAAGTAAGATGGCCACCAAAAGCTTGTAAGTTATCTAGTGAAACGGGAAAAATTGAAATATGCTTCGAAAAGGTTCAAGAAATGAAGTTGTGGAATAGCTATGGAGCACATACGCTAATAAGAGTATTACCAACTGATGATGCCGAAGAATACAATGTGTTCAAATTTGAAATTAAAACTAACACTGATTTTAATCTCGATTCTTTTGAAATGATATTGAGGGGTAGCCAAGATGACACATTATTTTTATTACCACTTGGATATCATGTCAATATCTCAACTGACATAAATGGTAAGTTTTATTTAATTATATAATTTTATAGTTAATAACACATTTTGATTTAGGTGAGCCAGTGGAACGGAGTTACACACCAATACCACAAAATTTCCTATCTAAAACTTTAAATACAAACAACAGTTCCTTAAATGAAATGAACTTAAATTTTCTAATAAAAAATTACAAGGCCAATGGACTTCTATCCGAACACATGCAACAGTTAAATGTAGGTTCACATCTGCTTCTGTCAGTGCCAAGGGGAAACTTTAAACTACAACATTTACTTCGACATAAGCGTTTCACTTTCCTCGCAGCTGGCAGTGGTTTAACTCCCTTTTTAAGTATCATACAACATCTTCTAAAGCGATTTGAAAACAAAATGTAAGTAAATCAAATGTGTTTTTTTATATAAAATTTTTTAAACGTAATACTTTATGTGATTTTTAAAGACAATTATGATGCAATAACCATATTTCTTTAGAAACAATCGTTTTATGAGAGATTATTAAACATTATATATCTTACTATTAAATGTATACTGTTCAATATAATTAGTTGAGTTTAATAATATAAACACGTTATTATTTATAATATATACACAACAATTCCATTATAAATCCCCAACACTCTCCTTCGTTATTAGACATCATTTGGAAATTTAAGTTTTTGTTTTATATTTATATTATGTTAAATCCGAGATATTTAAATAAACGATTAAGTTCATACTATTAATAATCTTTATATATAAGTTATTAAAGAGTTCCAAAAAATACTCTATAATACTTCGAACTGTTTCGATAACTAAACAATATAACAGCTCCAATACTTGACACACCCACATAGGTGATAAGGAGATAATCTCTTCTCTTCGTTTATAGGTTTTAGAATATTATATAGATGTGGTAAAAGTTGGTTTACGGCAAAATTTATGTGTCCTATATAGCTAAATGTAAATAATTGTGAGTTCCCTAAAGGGAATCTTAAATAAAAAATATGGATTTCAAACAAAAACATACTTATTTATTAATAAAATCTCATTTACAGTGAATATCTACGGCTTATCTATTTCAATAAAACTGAGGCTGACATTTGGTGTCGTAATGCTCTTACAGACTTACAGGTGCAGGATGAAAGGTATATTCTTTTGTCATTATTGCAGTTAATTATATCGATTTGTGGTACAAATATTTTCTTTTAACAGATTTCATCTGACGAATATTCTATCACAAGCAGA